ACTCCTGTGCTGATCAGTAGTGGGATCATGCCTGTGAATAGCCACTGCACTCCAGCCTGGGCAGCATAGCGAGACCCCGTCTCTAAATAAATAAATAAACACAGGTTTAATCCTGGACAAGTGGACCCCGCTAGTGACTCCCTGAAATTTAACAGCAGTTGGGGTGCTTAACACCTGATAGGGGCCCTTCTGTTTTGGTTAAAATTTATCTTCAGGGAATCCTTTCCAAGTTTTTGTTTTGTTTTGTTTTTTTGAGACGACTCTCACTCTGTCGCCCAGGCTGGAGTGCTATGGTGCAGTGTCAGCTCACTGCAACCTCCACCTCCCAAGTTCAAGGGATTCTTCTGAGTAGCTGGGATTACAGGTGCCCACCACCACGCCCGGCTAATTTTTGTATTTTTAGTAGAGATGGGGTTTCACCATGTTGGCCAGGCTGGTCTCGATCTCTTGACGAGTGGTGGCTCACCCCTGTAATCCCAGCACTTTGTGAGGCTGAGGTCGGTAGATCACCTGAAGTCAAGAGTTTGAGACCAGCCTGGCCAACATGGCAAAACCCTGCCTAAAAATACAAAAATCAGCTGGGTGTGGTGGTAAGCACCTGTAATCTCAGCTACTTGGGAGGCTGAGGCGGGAGAACTGCTTGAACCTGGGAGGTGGAGGTTGCAGTGAGCTGAGACTGAGTGAGCCATTGCACTCCAGCTTGTACAACAGAGTGAGACTCGGTCTCAAAAAAAAAAAAAAAAAAACCCAACAACAACAACAAGAAAAAAACAAGCAGCTTACTTTGATTGCTGCTTTTGCCTGGGTCAAGGCTTTGGTTAACTTGGGTTTGGTGTCAGATACTGAAAGGACTCAGTGTCTTCCTCAGATGAGATATGTATACCTAGAAGTCAAACCCCTGTAATTTAACAGCACAAGGATTAGTTAATAGCACCTGATAAGGACCCTTTTAAGGGGACAAGAAGGAGTCCTTTCACTGGTTTTTCTTCCAGTATATGGAATTACCAGGCTTGAGGTGGTGATACTGCAGTTCATGGTCTGACTAGAAGTTGTGGAAGGATTCTACAACCTTGCAGTGGTTAATTTTTGTAGCCTCAATAAGCCCCAGTAATAAGACTAAGAGACTTAATTTAGGATTTTGATTTTGAGGACATTTGTTTAAGATGTAAACAGGCTCAAAATATTTGATCAAAACAGAATCACAGGTTATTGTAAAATAAGTCATACATTTAACCCACAGTGATAATTAAAAGACCTCAAAGGCAATACAGAAAATTAAATTGATGTAAACATTTAAACAAACCCCTTTTAAATCTCAGGGGTGTGTGTGTGTGTGTGTGTGTGTTTAGCAATCAAAAGCCTAATAAAGACAGCATGACAGCATAGGAATAATAAAATCTTATTTCTTATCCAGTTACCAAAAAGATTAAAGAAAAACCTTCTGCAGTGTGACTGCTTCTACTATTTTTTTTTTTTTTTTTTTTTTTTTTTTTTTTTTTTTTTTTTTTTTTTTTTTTTTGAGACAAAGTCTTACTCTGTCACCAGGCTGGAGGACAGTGGCACGATCTCAGCTAACTGCAACCGCTGCTTCCTGGGTTGAAGCAATGCAACTGCTTCAGCCTCCCGAGGAGCTAGGACTACAGGCGCAGACTACCACACCCAGCTAATTTTTTTTGTATATTTAGTAGAGATGGGGTTTCACCATGTTGGCCAAAATGGTCTTGATCTCTTGACCTCATGATCTGCCAGCCTGAGCCTCCCAAAGTGCTGGGATTATAGGCGTGAGCCACAGCGCCCACCTGACTGCTTCTCCTTATGGGAAGCCCATTTAGATAACCTGGAAGTCAAACTTCATAAAAGTGCTTGATTTCAATCAGGCACAAGAAGAGTGCGTTCAAGGTTATGAGGATAGCAGGGGAATAAATGACTCTAAGGAATAGTACCAGAAGTTTTCTGATTACATTGAAAATTTTTGCATATCAGGAAAAGCCAAAAGCACAGAATCAAGTTACGTTACAAGAAAACATTGCTTTTTTAGACCTTCAAGATAAGACATTTTAGCATCAGGCCATAATAGTTAGAATTAGAGGAAAGAAAAGAAACTTACAGAAGCTGGCAAAAAAGCTGAAGAAGAGATCATCTCAGGCTTTCTCAAACAGAGAAAAAGGCTGAGAGCAGCAAGACATGGCAAAGTTGAACTTCTGAGATATGATTCGGAGTTTTTCAAAGAAATAGGTTAGGCCAGGCATGATGGCTCACTCCTGTAATCCCAGCACTTCAGGAGGCTTAGGCAGGGGGGGTCACTTGAGGCCAGGAGTTTAAGACCAGCGTGATCAACATAGTAAAACCCTGTCTCTACTAAAAATACAAAAATTAACCAGGCATGGTGACGCATGCCTGCAATCCTAGCTACTTAGGAGAATGAGGCAGGAGAATCGCTTGAATCTGGGAGGTGGAGGTTGCAGTGAGCCAAGATCATGCTACTGCACTCCAGCCTGGGTGACAAAAATGAGACTCCATCTCAAAATAAATAAATAAATAAACATTAAAAAGAAATTATAAATAGGCTGGGCACAGTGGCTCACACTTATAATCCTGGTACTTTGGGAGGCTGAGGCAGGAGAATCACTTGAACCTGGGAGTTGGAGGTTGCAGTAAACTGAGATCATGCCACTGTACTCCAGCCTGGGCAGTACAAGAGCAAGACTCTGTCTCAAAATAAATAATAAATAAAAATTTAAAAACAGGCTGGGGCCAGTGGCTCATGCCTGTAATCCCAGTACTTTGGGAGGCCGAGGCAGGAGAACTGCTTGAACCTGGGAGGCGGAGGCTGCAGTGAGCCAAAATCGTGCCACTGCACTCTAGCCTGGGCAACAGAGTGAGATTCTCTCTCCAAAAAAACAAATAAATAAAAAATAAAAGAATAAAAGAAATAGTTTATAAAACTAAAAGTAAAATTTTTTCTGATTTCATTAAGAGCAAATCAATACCTTAGGAAAATCTTGTTTTAATATAGGGGACCAATCTTAAAAGACTATTACAAATAGTTCCCTTTAAATTATAGCTAAGTATGTGTGGTGCAGCTCAGGGTGTTTCAGGTGACTTAAACCTTCTTTTCTCATGCTAAATTCTTCCCTTACCCTACTTGGCTAAGGGCAAGAGAAGCTCACCCAGCCTCCAGTTCCTATCATCACAGAGGAATAGGAAGCGTGGGAAAGCACAGACTTACCAAATTATAAGGATGCTAAAAGTCGGGGATTATGCCCAGGAACCAAAGGAAAGCTCAGAGTAGGCCATTGCCTCTGGAAGGAAAGCGTGGGAAGCGGCAACAGTGCCCACCTAAGATCAGAGATGTCTGATGCTCTAAGACTGAACCCCAAAGGGGATGCCCCAGAGGATCCTTCGAACTGCAACCTCTCCAAAGGGAACACCCTAGCAGAGGTTCTGAGGTCTGCTACTAAGCCTTGCTTAGAATTTTCTCTGGCAGTTGCAATACTGTTTGGCCCCAATATTACTTGGAATCTGGAGTTTGCTGTTGAATGGAAAAGTGAAACGGAGTTGCATGTATCCAGGCTTTTGGGCTCCTGTTCTAAGCAGGACCAGGCCTGGTTAGTATGTGATATTCTTTTTTGGTGCTATTTGGCCCCAGTGTTCTTTGGAATCTGGGGAGGTTTGGCCTTTAAACATTAAACTGCCATGAAAACTGCTTTACCTGAAATTTTGGTTGACAGCCTTCATTGTGTTACCTATTGGGGCAAACAAAACTGGGAAGCTTGTATTGCTGTCTCATGGCTGGGGTTCCAAGCTATTGGAACTTTGTGTGTATATGTGTGTATACATGTCTAGATGTGTTTATTTGTATGTACACTTATTGTTTCTTCTTTTCTCTGCCAACATACTGCATTATACTTATTGTTGTATGTTGTGTCTACCAAATTGACTTATGAGTAAAAGAGCGTTCATGTATTAATAAATCTAAGCAATTTTCAAATTCATGTGACTTAAGTATAACTTACTAAACAATTTGGTTTTCAAATTATTGATAAAAATAGATATGGCTTCAGAATTGTCAGCATACATTTTGGTCTGGATTTTATGTTTGTCTTTGCTAGATCCTCTGAGATATCAGTGTTTGGCATAGAAGGTTATAAAACTATAAACCCAGCCAAAACAAAATGACCTTGATTTGCATACCTGTTTTTTTTGTTTGTTTTTTTGTTTTTTTTTTTTTGACAAATGAGAGTAATGTAATGTTGTTAGCTAAATCTTCTGAGTTACTGGTAAAAATACCAATGTATTTAACATTGAGGCTCTTACTTAGCTTTAGGTGAGTACCTGATGTTCACTGGCTATTAAAAACATGGTTAACAAGGAAATAACTAACTTGAAATGATGTCTAATATTTCAGTTTACAGAGGTAACCTAGATAAACTGTTTAAAAAGTGAAAGAATTGGCCAGGCACAGTGGCTCACACCTGCAATCCCAGCACTTTGGGATGCTTAGGCAGGCGGATCACTTGAGGTTATGAGTTTGAGACCAGCCATGGTAAAACCCTGTCTCTACTAAAGATACAAAAATTAGCCAGGCACAGTGGTGGGCACCTGTAATCCCAGCTACTTGGGAGACTGAGGCAGGAGAATTGCTTGAACCTGGGAGATGGAGGTAGCAGTGAGCCAAGATTGCGCCACTGCACTCCAGCCTGGGCAACAGGGTGAGACTCTGTCTCAAAAAAAAAAAAAGTGCAAGAATTGAGTACAGTGAATGGGATAAACGTTTTAGGGAAAATTTTTATGTAAATTAAAATCTTAAAATTATTTTGGTTTTTCATTGACTATCCAAGTTATTTCAAATTAAGAAAGGTTTGTGATATGGGGAAATATGTTTCTAAAATTGTGTAATCATTAAACTTTTAGGTTACTAAGGATAAGAATTCTAGTTAACACATAATTCTGTATACAAAATGTGCCTGAAAAAGCTGTGTTGTTTTTCTGTTACTAAGAACAGGAATGATACCGAGCTCGGATTTATAATTTGGAGGCAGGTTCGCGAGAAGAAAACACCAAGCCGAGAATAACAAGGTAAAAGAAGAGGATTTTATTTACAAAAGGGTATAGGTAAAAGAAGAGGATTTTATTTACAAAAGGGACATACCCAGAGACCGTCCGTCTGGACACTCAACACCGGCGTTGCAGCAGCACGGGTAAAACGCAAGTCAGAACTCTAAGCAGTCTCTCTCTCTCTCTCTTTGGTTTTTGTCTGTTTTTTATATGTTGCAGTTCAACTTAGATCATGAAATAAACACCAGCTGCTCTTTGTCTTGTCTCTCATGAACGTTATCATTATGTAACAGCAATCCTTGGCTTTGTTTGCTGTTCTCGAAGAGACAGAAATTGGCCAGATCTCCGGCTCCTTGGAAATAAGCCAGGGTCACTATGAGCTCCTAATGCCCCGGGCTTACTGCCAAAGAAATGATAACTTTATGTTCCCAAGGTCCAAGAAACTTAGAGCAAACACTGGACATGACTTTTCTTATTTAACCCTACAGTTGTTAGTGAGAAAAAGAATAATTTTGTCTAATTTAGAAGTTATCTAAAAGTTCAAATTATAGATTGAAAAGGTTATTTATGAAACAATGTAGTAAGGAATCATAAGTGTGAGAGAAAGATGTGAAAAAAAAGTTTAGATAATAAAATATTCCTTAAAACCTGATAGAAAATTGGAGAAATTTGGCTAATTAACATTTCATAGTTAGAGCTCTTAGTCTTGATTAAAGTAAAATAAGAAATATATTTTTAATATACTTAAGCATGAAGCTGGATTTAGTGTGGAGCTAAATTTCACATACATGCTTGCATTGATTCACACTGTTTACTGTTTTGCATGGATAGTGCTGGCACTGGAGTAATTATTAGTCACGTGCCTAAAGTGAATTTCTGATTGTAAAGGATATATGGTAATATTGGTAGACTTAAGGATATTGAATTGTGTATCAGGAATAAAATATTCATTATGTGGGGGTTTGGGGGCCCTAAGTAACACTGTAGACTCCAGGGTTGATTGAGTAGGAAAAAATTAGATTTCGTTTCCTGTTTATTTGTTTTTGCTTCTAATTTTCATTTGTTTGCTGTTTATTCTCCTCTGGGCTTTGCTTGTGGTCGCATATATATAAAACCATGTTTTCTTTGGTTTTTGTTTTTGTTTTTAGTTTCTTTTTTTTTTTAATTGCATTTTAAGTTTTGCAGTACATGTGAAGAACATGCAAGATTGTTGCATAGGTACACACGTGGCAGTGTGATTTGCTGCCTTCCTCCCCATCACCTATATCTGGCATTTCCCCCCATGCTCTCTCTCCCCAAC